AGAGAGAGAGAGAGAGAGAGAGAGAGAGAGAGAGAGAGAGAGAGAGAGAGACCCAATTAGGTGATCCATGTCCCCTTTTTCAATGAACAGATGCGATGAAGTGAACTTGAAAATGACATGTATGAATCTGCTGTTCTCTTGGGGCTTCTGGTTTCTAAATAATTATGCCTCTTTCTGTAACTAGTGCCCTGCGGCTCCTTTCTAAGTCAACCATTTCATCTGGTGGTCAACCAAAGGAACTGTAGTTTGTTCCATTACAGAAAAATAATGTCCCTTCTTGACACGCTAAAAGATAATATTCTTTTATACTTAGGGGATTTTTAAGCATACATTTGACCATAGGCAGTCTTTGCCTTATATTACAACTTAAAATCCTAATCATTCACAAGATGGGAATCCACTAATAAATCCATTAATTTTTTTTTAAAAAGACTGAGTATCTTAAGATGTAAATTCTGATCCAGGAATGATGCTGGCCTGTGAATTGCCCTTCCTCAGGTTTTGGACATGACAATGATGGAGGTAGACCTTGATTTCTAAGGTCTTAGATGCATAGAATATCAGGGATAGGTAGACCTTAGACACCATCTGGCCCAACTCCTTGCATTTGACAGAGTAGGAAAGAGTTTTTTTTAGTAGTAGTCATGTGTCCACGGTCAGTTAGTACAGAATGACTAGCAGGACCTAGGCCTCCCGTCCCCATACGAGTGCCTGTGCTCTGCCCTTTGCCTGTAGCATCAGCCAGCTGTGATTCATAGGCCTCATCACTGCACTTCAGAAATCCACATTTGCAGCCTCATTCCAAGGAAGCAGATAATGCTGTGCAGATGTGCACGTGCCTTGAAGACCAAGGATGGCGGGAAACCAGGCTGGGGAGGAATTTTCATAAATGTGAACATCCCGTCCACAGCCCTGGACTGGGATCCTGTTCTTATTCAAGCTACTGTTGAACTGTTGTCAGCAGTTCTGCCATGGCCCCTGGGATGGGCCTGGGTGGGAGGGGCTGATTGTGGGCTTGGACTGGGCTGGAAAGGATACCTATGAGCTGGAAGGTCCTTTAAAGTCCACTCCTCAGCTGCAGGGGAATCAGGGAGTAAAAAGCCTTAGAACAAGGGATCTAATCCACCAAAGGAAAATCAGTCATATTTAAAATGCCTTTTAAAGGACAGTCATGGTAGGATACATTTACATGTTCTACTCTAATAATGTGCCACTAAGACATCTTCAGCAGACTCTAAGCTTTAACCAGAGTGTTAATAGCCATGGTACTTTGAGAATTGGCTGTAGTAAACAAGGTATTCCTGTTTTCTGGGATTATCCTATCTAGGATAATGAGGGTTTAGTGGGTTCATCTGAGAAATTCTGGCAAGAAGAATTAAAATTAGAATTCTGGAATTTAAGGTACCTTAGGGATCATCTCATATACCTTCTCATTGACAGGTGATATAACAGAATTTTGGAGAGTGGTGTTGACTTATCCTGAGTCACAAGGCACACTTGTTTATGCTTTTATTCAAATGGAAAGAGACCACCTTCTCTCTCATTCAAAGCCAGAAAAAGAGCTAGAGCCTGGGAATGAAAAGGAAATTTGAAAAAAATGAACAAGTTTCACTATGTGTATAAGATTTCTGGATTAATCCAGAATTCAGAGGTGGAGTTCTACAGTCTCTTGCATTCAATGAGAACTTGACAAGAGCAAAAAACTCGAGCCATAAGTTCTCAAGGTGCTGCAGAGTAGTGACCAAGGAGGAAGAGCAGGCAGAGTGAGCTTTGGGGTCATCTTCACCCTGGGCAACTCCACTTCTGTCTCTTTTCTATATTGGGCCTAATTGAAGGGTCATTGGAAGAACATGTTCACTAGGGAGAAAAAAAATTAAAACATCAACAACCTAGGAGTCGATGTGCCTTCAGAGTGCCTCTGCAGCCTGACATTCTGTGGGCTCTTGATTCTTGAGGGAAATTGTTCAGGAGTGTGTGAACATGGATGCAGGGTCCTGTCTCCCTGTGAGCACCAGTTGTCAACTGATGAGATGCAGCTTCCTACAGAAGGGGAGATCTGCTCATGTCTCCTGGCTGCCAGGGACATGGCTGCAGGGAGGCTAGTGCCATGCAGGGAGGGCATTCCCAGAAGAGTCACTATACAAGCCCCCTCCCCAAAGAAGCCAATTTCCCCCAAAGGAATTAGACAAATGCATCTAATTCAGAGATCAAGATCAAGATCTGTAGGGCACTTCAGGTAGCAGATCAGTCCATGAGTTGCCTCAAGAGTTGTTTCTTTAAAATGCCAAGAGATCCTGCTTTCTAGAATCCTCTTTCTTTATAAGGGACCAGATCTTCTGCATCCTGATAAGGTGATAGTCCCTAGCACACAGCATCCAAAAAACTGCAGCACCTCACCTGGCAATGTTCTAGGACACTGACAATGTTAGGAGACAGTTTGGGTTTTCAAAACTGCAGAATTCTCTGGCTCAAAATGTCAATAGTGCTGAGATCGAGAACCCCCGACATGCAGCATCAAGGGCTATTTCTTGTGAACTCAGAATATTTAGTTACAGCACCCCACATATAAAATGAGTTAAAGAGGAGTGGGGCCACAATGCCTCTAGCAGATCTTCCCCATCTTGTGCCCTTGGAAACACCTGTAGTTTCCTGAGGCTCGGTGGAGCATGGCTTATGGGCTCTTTGGTGTGGCCAAAGGAGTATAGGATTCAAGGCCATAAGATGGGAGTTGGGACCTTGATCTGCCATCTACCAGCTGTGCAATGTTATGTGAGTTACTAAAACTTCCTGGGTTTGTTTCTTTGTTGTGAAATGGGAGAGTAGTTACTATCTCATAGGTTTGTTAAAAGGTTTAAATGAGATGATAAGTTCAAAAGCACCTTACAAATTTACTACTTTGCTGTGGATAAAACATTGTCTACAAGGCTACCTTTTGCTGAATGACTGTGGGGAAAATAATACTACAAGAATACTAAAAACACATACCATCCACTCTGAAGTTATTTGATGAGAACCTCTCCCAGGAAGCCAGAGAGAGCTTAGAAAGTAGGCTCCTGGGTCTGCACACCTTTCAAAAGTAGGTACAACTTTAATAAACTTGATCTCTCAGAATACTCTGATCCTTCCCTGCCCCACTTTAAAGTGAGAACATCTCACTTATGGCAATTTTTTATGAGTACTCTCTAGATTCTAGGAAATATTGTTGGATATTGTATCCTCTTCAGCTTTCCCCTAAGACGTTTTTAAAATACCCTTCTGATAGCGACTTCCCTTGCTGCCCATGCCCTTTGCTGGTGAATTGCCAACCCCTTAGCCGGGCATTCAAGACCCTTCAGAATTGCACCCTGACCCTGCCTTCCAGCACTGCCTCCTCCTGTGGGCTCCAGCATACCCTGCACTTTCCAAACACTTGATAATTATTTGGGGGAATTGGGCAATGCTTTCTAATACTTCATCTTTGGGCACAATTATGGCTATGTGTCTGTCTGACTGCTGCTTCCTCGGGGGTCTCTGTTCCTCTTGCCTTGGAACCTTGGAGTGGGAACTAGTGAAGACATTACAGACTGGGAACAGAATTGTGTGTAAGTGTGTGTGTGTGTGTGTGTGTGTGTGTAGGGGATCAAAACCAGGGCCTTGGGTTTGCTAAGCAAGTGCTCTACCTCTGAACTACACTCTCAACCCTGAGAAAGAAAACAAAAAATGTTGTGTTTGGCTGGCTCACACACCAGTAGCCCAAGTTCCCCTTGTGGTCTTTTCTAGTTCTACCTACTCAGCTTGAACTTGTCACCCCCTACCACCTTCATTCATCACACTGTGTCCTTGTGTGGCCCTGTGAAGGAAGAGACAGTGTCTAACCCATCTAGACTTCTTTAACTCCTAGAGGAGAGCCTGGCCTCATGAGAGAACACATTGGTGGTCTCACCTTCACGTAGTCATATTCACAAAGGTAGGAAGATTCCAAGTTGAAGTGCATGAAGTAAAGCTTGATCCGAAACCCCTCTGGGACAGTGATATTCCAAGTCACTTCTGAGTCACTGGGATAGGAGTCCGGATAGCCAGGTGACTGGATCTGGCCAAACATGTCATTCAGCTCCACAGTGTGGGACGAAGCCTTCAACAGGGAGAAGCACAGAGCATGACAGAGAAGGAGCCACCTGAAAGACACGAATGTGGTTCCACTTACATTCCTGGACGCAGGGCCCCAGCATTAAACTGAGTCAGCGGCCCGGAGACCAACTCCTCAGCATATCCCTGCTGTAGATCCCCTCATCTGGGCCTTGCTTACCTCGTCTGTAATATGGGAGGAAGGAACTAGGTGATTTCTGAAGCTGCTTCTAGTTTTGCTCTTTTAAAAGTTTGATAAGAGTATTAAACTTTTCCAGAAAGTACCATATTATTTTACTATTGAAAAGGTAACTTACATTATTAGGTAAAAGTTGGTCTCATTTCTTCAGTTTGGCTTCCTTTAGGAATCATAAACTCTTTATGCATTTTTCTAAAATGTAAGTAATAACAGCATGGTAATATTGGGATGAGATTTACACTCTGTGGTGGAATTTGGAGACCTTAAACCAATTCAATTTAATATTTTGAAAGAAGTGTTGCATTACCAAATCATTCATGGCATGCAAAATCTTGAATAAAATTGGAATGAACAAAGGAGTTTCCTTGGTAAGGTTCTATTACAAGGGTTAAAAGCCTCTAATTCATTTCTGTAAGAATCCAGGATAACTGTTGCAAAAAGCGGGAAGGGAAATTCAGTAAAACTCTCAGAACATGCCAAGCGCGGATGGTGCAATACAGAGGCAGAGTAACCAAGGCTGGTCGAAGCCTAATGGTCAACACTTGCACACCAGCAATTGGCAAATGGTCGCTTCCCACCAACACCCAGGGACTTTGAACTCAAACATCCAAACATGGCTGGACAGCGTGTCTTCTCATAGATTCCTGCTCTCGTTTCTGATTTCTTTTAGTGGTGATCTCATCTACCAGCTCCCTCAGCCTGAAAGGCTGCCATTCTCCTGCCTTTTACGCCACATATAATCGTCACCAAATCTTTTTGACTCTTCTGCCTGTTTTGTAGACCCATCTCTCTTTCTCTCTAGTCAATTCCTTAATTTAAACCCTCTTATCTGGACTATTTCTATAGCATCCTAACTGGTCTTTTGGTCCCCTTATACCATTCAGCAATCTTCTGCCAAAGCTGGTTTCCTATGACATAGATGCCACCATCGTGCTACACTGTGTCTGCAGGTACAACACCTGCCTTGGAATGGCTGACAAGTCCCTTTTGGGTCTGGTGCTGATCTGCCCGTCCAGCCCTCTGTCAGTGCCAGTCAGGCCACCCCCTTCCATGCCTCAGCCCCATGGCACATGCCCTGCTCTTGCTCATCTGCTGATGTCCCATTTTTCTTTGCTGGGCTGTGAATTATCTCTTTATCACTCCAGATTCCACAGCCCCCCCTATTGGAGTGACTGCCACACTGCAGTGCTTCAGGCCCAGCCTTTGAAGTTGAGTGTACTTGGGTTCAGTTCCCAATTCTCCCACTTATGGCGCCGTGAAAACATGGGCAACTAGTTTCTCTGAGTTCTAGTTTCCACATATGTAAACGAGGATCATCGTCCCTACTTGACAGGATTCATAAGAACATTAGCAATAACATATGTCAAGGATCCAGTGTAGAGTCTGCTATATTGAAGATTAGAAATGAAAGAAGAAAGGGAGGAAAGAGATCCTGAGACTGACAGACCAGTCTAAGAATTACAAAAGTCAACGTTGGGAAACTGTGACAGCATTTTTGGATTAGTAGTTTTATCTTTGCTAATCAGGAAGTTGCTTCCTGGCCAGGACTCCCGGTCACGAATTCAGACGTATATTTGTATATATGCATACAGATGAATTTTTGAGTGTATACACAGCAAGAGAAGTACATTCATAGATTATCTGTCTATTTCATGTATTATTTGCATAAAAGATAAATAGATAAATATAAAAAGGTCTGAAGATAAATAGATAAATATAAAAAGGTCTGCAAGGATAGACACCAAGGTATTATTAGTGGTTGTCAGTGGAAGTGAAATAGGAGTGTTTTTAGTTTTGTGTATGCAAAATATTCACATTGGTCTAGAAGGACCATGTGCTATTTTTTCAATAAAAAGAAAATAAAGTAGTATGTTTTTTTCCAAGACTCTTACAATAGCAGCATGTGGGATGCTATTAAGAAAACAAAATATTTTAATCCAATTGCCACTGTCAATATTTTTTTTTTTACACCAATCTGTGAAGGAAGGACCTCAGAGGCAGTGATCAGGGAAGGCACAGGTCCAAGTTCTACAGTGAATTAGGAAGGCCCATTCCAGAAACTCCAACTTGCAGGGCCCAGGACTCGAGATTTCAAGTGAGGAAACGTACTGTCATTAACAGGGTTGGGAGTTTATGCTCATCCATCCCAAGGAGGGGAGAGTAGATCAACTTGAGGCCCTGCTTTTATTTATCCTACCCATTTTAAGGAAGTGGTGGAGCATCTGAATTTGTTTTCTTGTCTATTACCTGGTGATAATAATGGTTTCCCACAGGCCTGCTGTCCTCAGGAGCTTTGGAACATACTTGGTTAAGTGTCCAGCCCTGGGCAAACATTATTGCTGATTACTCCATCATGCTGCTTCCCAAAAAGCAGGTGTTAGGCATAAGCTTTGGCTCCCAAACCGGACTTCCCTGCAATAGCGATGACTGATTACGTAAGGCTGAAAGGTCAACTTTCTCTATGTCTGCTTTTTCCAGACCACATAGAGGAGTGTCTCAGATTCCTCAGGCCGAAATATGTCAAGGGCTGGTGGCTGACTGGTCCGTCTATCCTAGAAGCCCCTTGCCATGTATGGTGGGCAATTGATCAGCATGGGAGGAAGACCTGTTGGCATCTAACACAGTTTCAAACATAACGAAGCAAATATCTCCTTTCACATAATGGGCCTGAGCATATGCTTGCTTGCTTGCTTGCTTTAGGGGCTATAAATCGAAGAATCTTAAGTGGCAGATTTCATTCCCCATCACACCCTCTGAATGGTTTTGGCTTCTCATATACCAGGCACCAGCTGTACAATTCCTGACACCTGTTATCTATCCTGTGGCTCATCAAAGAGTTGAGCTCCATTTGCTTGAAATGTCAAAAGTAATATACAGAGCTGGGATTTCATGGGCTCCTCCGTGGGTGCAAGCTCTTGGGGATGTGTAAAGATGCCCCTTGGGGATATGACGGAGCAATAGGTGGCACTTTCTAGCCCTGCCACACTTACTCCTCTCACTTCAACGAACACAACACCAGGCCTCCCTTTTTAAGTTGAAGAGTTGGAAGGGACTGTTGAGCTCCTTATGCTCCACCCTCTTTTGACAGGTGATGAAAAGAATACCCCAAGAGATGTCACATCATGCCCAAGACCATATGGTGAATTTGCTTCAACGAAGAAGGGAATAACAAAGGCTCACAGAAGAAGTTGGGCCCATGCCCATATCATGCCCAGGCAGCTGGCCAAAGCAATTAACCCTGTGAAAAATAATTTTAAAATCCATGGCTTTGGGGAAATTTAAAAACTACTAATGCCTGAGCCCTTCTCCTAGGAGCTTCTGGTTTAATTGGCTTGGGCTGAGGCCTGGGCATGAGCATTTAAAAGCACCACAGGTCATTCTAGTGTGCACAGGACTGAGAGTCTAGAGGAACATAGTAGGACAAAAAATGCTGTCCTCGAGGCCCAAAGAAGATCCAAGTTTGAGTCTGAGGCTTTTCCAGATCATCAGTGTGGCTTTGAGAAACTTGCTCAACTGCTTTTATTCTCACTTATCCATAAACCCTTTATCATCCTCAATCTGTAGTCTAGGTGACACAGTGCACATGAAATTGCCTTGCAACCTCTGAAGTGCTACAAGCATGTGAGGCAAGACCCTTTACAGACTTTTGTAGTGAAACACTTTTCTAGTCGCTGCTTTGCTATTCAGCAGTTGAGTTCAATTCAACAAATATTTATTGAATGCCTAGCAGGAAACAGACATTATGTTAGGTGCTGGTCCTACAGAGATGAAAACACTGATCTCCCTGCTTGTCACAGAAGTCAGCATTTAAATAAGGAGGTACTCCAAAGACAATAGGAGACATCGCTCCAAAGCACAGAACAGAACAAAGGAGGAGATGCTTGCTCTGGGGGATGGAAATCGGAAAAGCAAGTGATATTTGAATGAGATCAAACCAACAGATCTTTTAGGTGGAAAATAAGGAGGAGGATTGCTCTAGGTTAAGGGACAAGCGTATACAAAGACACAGGATTGTCACTGAGTCCTGTATTTTGGTGTAGCTGGGGCCTTAGTGGTAGGGTGGGTTCATTTCCTTGGCAGGTGATTCAGATATGGTTCAAAGTAGATGGGCATAAATGCAATTTTGTTTTAGGGGAAAGAATGGAAAATGAAGTTTGATGGCAAGTTCAAAATTACAAAGGATTTAAAAAGAATGAAATGATTGAATTAACATTAAGGACTCGAGTATCTCTCTGCACTACAAGTAATTGGAATTCAGAGTTATGCAGCCGAAGCCCCTCATTGGCCTGGACTCAGCAAAGTTGCTGGGTGACTTTGCAGAAGAGAAACATCCCCCGATTTAGAGAAAAATCAAAGGGAAAAGAGCTACATAGGGACTTATAGAGAGAAAGGTTTTTGTTTTTTTTTTATATTTTCACTTTTTTGTATATTTCTAGCAGCAATAACATTTATAAATAGCAAAACTAATTAGAGTGGTTAGGTTTCCAGACCTGCAGAAAAAAAAAAAAACTTGTAAGGAATGTCTGATAAGGAACATTAAGTAAGATGAGGAATAAGAAAGGTTGAAGAGCTTCAAATCAATTGGAATTTAAAGTTTAAAGTCCTGGGCTTCGGAACTCCAAATGATCCTTAAAGAAATTGTGGTATCCCTTTAAGAGCCATTTGGTGCAATTCATAGCCTGATTCATGTCACCAGCTGCCTCTGATTTCAGAGAGAAATGCAGAAATTTATAGGGAACTGTAAAATAGGGACAGGTTTTGAGTTTTCTAAATTGGGGTTTCACAGGAAAACTTCTGAAACCACAGAGCTGGGCTGTGGGAAGCCAGTTTCTTTTCCGGTCAGAACAAATAAACACACAAATACACATCTAACTCTCAAAGTGTTGGGAGAGAGGACTCAACGGTCTTTGCAGAAGAGGAAAAGGAAAAATCAGCCTTGTGGGCAATGGGAGGAGGTCACATTGACCAGTAGGCAGCACCCTGCGCTGGCAGAGGGAGAAATTCAAGCTTCAGCTGCGCCCGCCAGAGCAGGCTTTTGCACAAACTCCAGCTTCCCAGGGGCATGTCTCCCGTGCATCCAGCCTCCCCTTCAGTGGAAGAGAACCTCCACCCCGGTCACCCACAGGACATGCAGGTGAGCCTGCCCAGAGAGAGGACGGACCCTCTGGGCCACTTGACACTTGGTTTCCCGAAGGGCACAGTGCCCTCTCCTGCCCTGGTACTCACCTCATTCTCCTGCTTTGCATGCTCCTGACTGCCTGGCCTGGGTCCCCTCTGCCGGACTAGTCTGTGAGATCGTCCCCCGGTGTGGTGTCAGCGATGTCTTATCTTTGTTCTGAGGTCCCTGTGTGTCTCTGGAATTGGCTGGCATTCTCCATTCAGGTCACGCCTTCCCCTGCCTGCAACGGATCCCCTCTCCCCCTCTCTCCCTCTGGCTTTTCCTCTCTCCTCTCTCTCTCTTTGCTCTCACTGCTCTTCTACACACTCTGTCTTCTTCCTTAAGAGATCTGCTCTGCCAGTCCCCTCCTTTATCCTGTGTGGCGGACTCCAGCATTGGAGAGAAAACAACTCAGAGCTCAGATAGGTACTCCCGCCCCCCCCAACCACCGTGTGTGTGTGTGTGTGTGTGTGTGTGTGTGTGTGTGTGTGTAGGAAGAGGGCGGGAGAGGGACAAAGTCTAATTTCTTTTCAGCCTCCCATGCCTGATGTCTAAAATTTTTTTTGCTCTTCTTCAGGACATCAGCAAAAGAACATTAATTACACAGAAAGAGCCGACTAAGAAGGCAGTGCTAGCATCTACCCTAGGAAGAAAACATGTTGCAGATGCCAAAGCCTCCGACTATCTGCAAACGACTACAGGTTTTCCTGTGAGCCAAAACCCCTAGCAGACAGCATGTGGGAGCACCAAGTTCTGCAGTTAGTTACTTGTCTCTCCCCACTTAAAAGCAACTCAGTGCCATTTACCAACTCAGAGTATGCAGAGGTTCAGTCCAGCCTAGAAAGGATCCCTCAGTGCCAGGAGGCCAGGTGCCCCAGAGGTATAGCAAGACCTGGGCCCATGTATGTGTCTGTGTCGATGGTTTGTGGAGAAATGTAACACTGGATTGGAGCTGAGCTGAATAATAAGAAATACCTTCTCTATGATAATGGTGCTTTTCATACTGATAAGTCCCTCTATAAGAACTTCCTCCATAATATAGCAACCAACATTGAGGAGGGAGAGGCAGGTTTGGGTGTGAAACACAGGTTTTACTGAGCATCTTTTCTGTGTTAGAGCATCTTTTCTGTGTTCCTTAAATTACTTTCACAAACTTGTGAGGGTCCTACTATTATATATTTCTTTCTCTTTTCTTTTTCTTTTCTTTTCACAAATGAGGAGACAGGCTCAGAGATTATCTAATTTGCCAAGTTTACCTAGCAATATATTTATTACTCCCCACCACTACTACTACAACAGATTAATTGTCTTCAGTTATTTTTATATCTTAAAAAGGTGGATAGTAATATTATTCCCATTTTCCATATGGGATAACTGCCCAGAGAGGCTAAGTAACTTGCCCAGAGTCACACAGATAGTGTTTGAGAAAGAATTTGAGCTCTTGTGCATTGTATATCATTGCTTCTTACTAATATATTATAATGCATGAAGAATTTCAAACACACAACACACATACATGCAGAATTCACCGAGAACCCCAATTTGATTCATTTTGAGGAAAGCATTAGACTGAGAAACAGAACTTAGCTATAATCTTTTCTTTTTACCCAAGCTGATTACATACTTTGGGCATAGTAATTTAATATCTCTTATCTTATTTTTGCATTTGCAAAATGGAGGTTGCCATGAGGCTTGAGATGAGATTATGCCTGTGAAAGGGCTACCTTAGTTGTCCAGAGGGCTACCTGCTATTCAAACCCAGGAGGCAAATTTGTGCACTCCCTCTCTAAGACACCATTCCTCTGGCACATTTTGGGGACCGATGATTTGAGCTCTCACTGTAAGTCATGTCCCATTTTCGCTCCAATCTCATTCCACTTGAGAATGTCGGTCTTGCCAAGCCTGGCGTTGTCAGGAGACTGTGGTCAAGAACACAGGTACAAGTATATCAGATGAGAACCTATGTTTGAACTCAGGCACAGTTTTCACAAAATGTTGCTTTCTGTTGCAGGCAGGGTAAGAGAAACCGCCTTTAAAATTCCCATTAAAAAAGAATCTCAGGCTCCTCAGACATCAAATAACTCTCACAAGACAACATTTTAATGATTTAAGTGTAAATGAATCAGAAACACATGGACTGCATTTCTTTTGGAATACACAAAGGTTTTAAAACCAAAGGAGAAAGAACTTGGCAAAACGCACACAGTGCTGCGCAGAGGGCCCTGCCCAGGAAAGACGCCCTGGATTCATGCTGCCTCTGAGCTCGCCCTCCCCGATTTTAGGGGACACACTGGGAAATGCAATCAACTGTTCTGGTTCTGGGCACAGAGGGAAGAGCTTGGAAGAGAAAGTCACCATTCCCTCTTGTTCTCAAGTGTCATAGAACAATTAGGCCTCCCAGAATAATTTCCTGGCGGTGTTTTTCCAAGGCTGCCAGTGTTCAATGGCAGGCATTTGAAATATGTTCGAAGCCAAAGTTCTGCCAATATACAGCAGATCTGATGTGTGTGCTTCCCTGGGATTTAGCCAAGACTCAGAGGAAATCTGCATGAGAACTGTAACTGGCTCAGTGAGGGATCTCGGGGAGAACCAGCGCAGATCCACATTGGGTCAGACCGCATTTGCGACAGTGTCCTGTGCTTTTGATGTGAACTCCTGGATGTCATTATCAGATTGTGGGTGGGGCAGGGGAGGCATGCAAGGGACCGGGACTAGGAGAACTGGGCTCAGTGTCTGTGAGCTGTGTGTGACCTTAGGAGAGTCATTTTCTTTCTTGGGGGAGGACATCAGTTTGCTCAGCTATCAAATCCATGCATTGGACTCGGCTGAACTTATGGAGCACACTAATGTGAACGTGAAGGTCGTGCAATGATAGTGTGAAGGAGGCTCAGTGGATCGTGAGACCACTGAAGAATCAAGGTATCTTGAGTACTCAAGGTATCTAGAGTAGACTTCGTCATCTTGGCACTTGCTTTGTTTGTGGTCACCATTCATTACTCAGAATTCCTTCATAGATATTCAGGGGTGGGGGGAATAGCACTTAAAGGGTTTCAATGAGTTTTTTTTTTTTTTTAAGTTTGACAAAAATGGTTTAAAAATGAATATGAGGAACTAATAGTTTATTTCATTTAGAATCATACAAGTGTATGGTGTTGGAGGTGGCCTGGCTGCTCTTGGGTTACTGTCAGAGGGGGGTTTCAGAGAGCTTACCTCTATGGAATACTGCTGCAGCATTCCTACCACTGGAGGATTTTGGTTTACATGTTCTACCAAAGTATTTATTTTGTGTAGCTCCTGAGTGCAAGTTTCTGGAATTCCGTGAATGTGTCCTACAATGCAAAGAATTTGGGTGATAGGTTTTTTTGGCAAAGCCTGAGACCCAGGGCTCCCTATAGAAGAGCTAAGAAACTGATAAATAGATCCAAAGACTGTAGCTAGAGTTAAACTTTGGGTGTTTCAATATATTGACTAACTGTGTTGAAAGTAATTTTTAAAATGCCAAACCTGGAGCTACATCCCAGGAGATTTAAATTCAATGAATCTTTGTAAGGGCAGCTGAATCTGCAATTTTAGAATCTCCCCTGGTGTGATTTTGCCATTTTTGGTAATGTAACATAATGGTACATCTTATAATTGATGGGTGTCTTAGATCTGATGAGATAATACCTAGTAATACCACACTCTTTCATGTGTGTTTTTGCATGTAATAGTCACATCTTTTTACAGATGAAGACCACATTGTTCAGAGAAAATGAGTGTGTCTGTAAAGGAATGATCATTGTCTGGAGTTCAGGCTCCTAATCCCAAATCTAGGATTTTTCCCCCTCATCTGCAGATTTCTGATACTTCCTGTGGAATTTAAATATTCATGAGTCATGCTGTCATGGGATTACACAATTTTTCAGAGAAGGAAAAAAAATAGCTTACATTTAAAAGATGAACTCTTAGGATCTGATAGGGGCTAATTAAGCCCCCCTTGAACTCATATGTTGACATCCCAACCCCAGTACCTCAGACCATGACTTTGGTGGCTTATAAAGAGGTGATTAAGTTACAATGGGGTCTATGGAGTAGGCTCCAGTCCAACATGACTAGTGTCTTCTGAAGAGATGAAGACATAGCCATGCAGGCGAAGACCACAGGAAGAAGACAGCGTTCTTCACACCCAGGACAAAAGTCTCAGAAGAAACCAAACCTGCAGCACTTGATCCTGGACTATAAGCCTCCAGAATTCTGCAAGAATATATTCATATATATTAATTAATTCATGATTGCACTAATTAATATGATGAGTAATTAATAATTATTAGTACATCAACATACCATTCACACCTCACTAATTTTCTCACCTAATCCATCCTGTACCCATTATGGTCCTGTCTACTCCCTGTGTCTCCCTTCCCTGGAAGTTCTCCAGGAATTAGGGTCACATGGAGCAAGCAGACTCGACCACGGGCCAGGAGCCAGGAGCCACAAAAAGCAAACAATCAGCTGGAGTTCCACCATGTGGGGGACAGCTCTCAGATCTGGGAGGAGTTAGGCCCTGGCTTCCCTAACTCCCTACAGCTATTTCCTGAACATTACTTTCCCACTCTCCTTCCAAATTCTCCTGCTCTTTTTCCACTCTGTCCATTCCACACCCTTCTCACCTCTGTCACTTCCTCCCCTCTTTCCAGAAGAACTTAGGTTTGTGGCACTGTTGTTCACTCTCCTTCCCAATTCCTCCTAATACCCCGAGGACACTAGAGTCCCCAGTTCCATCTCCATCTTTGAAGAAATATTAGTTTCAGTTTTTCAAGAAATGAAAAATATGTCATTAAGCCTCAGTCTGAAAGGATCTACCAAGCCCCAATTGGGACATGTAGTAGAAGAGTTATATCTAGGTGCATTTACTAATCTTTCAGGATATCAAGGAAAAATACCTTAAAAATTGTCTACAAAAGAATGAAAATCAGATTAACATCAGATTTCTAAATTGCCATCCAGAAATAAGGGGAAAATAGAGGATCGTTTAATGTGCAAAAGACAAAAATCACATTTAAACTTATAATCGTACCCAGGTCAAAAGATACAAATTTTAAAGATATTCAGACTTTAAAATTCACCATTAAAGACCTTTTCAGAAAGAATTACTGAAAAATGTGCACCAAGAGGGACAAAAATTGTTAGAGATAGTATTGACAATACTGTGGAGAAATGGTGTTATGGTTTAGAAGATATGAGGTATCCCTCAAAAGTCCGTGTGTGAGACATTGCAAGAAAGCTTAGAGGTTAAATGATTGAATTAGGACAGCCTTAACCTAATCAGCACATCAATACCCTGATAAATATTAATTGAGTGGTAACTATAGAAAGGCAGGTTGCGGCTGGAGGAGGCAAGTTGCTGGAGCATGCCCTTGGAGGGGATCAGTCTCTTTCTGCTTCCTGGTGGCCATGTCTGAGCCACTTTCCTCCACCACACTCTTCTGCTATTATATTCTGCCTGATTTCAGGTCCAGAGCACTGGAATTAGAAATCTATGAAATAAAACCTCTGAAACCATGAACTCCAAATAAATTTTTTTTCCTCTAAAATTGTTCTTGGCAGGTCTTTTGATCACAGTAGCAAAGAAGCTAACTAACACCAATGGGTATATTCATACAATGTATGTGAGTGTATAAAGTGACAGTTTTCTAAAGGGTAATATGGTTCTATTAGTGAAATAAAAATGTGCTTATCTTAAAAATCAGCAATTTTATTTTTAAAAAACCATCATATATATAAACATTTTTGTTGTAGTATTATTTGTCAAGGAGAAAACTGGACCTCAACAAAGAGTGGCTAGTTATAAAATGTTGTATTCATACCATGAAATATTAAACACTAATTAGACAGAACAAAAATGTTCTATATGAATCAATATGGATTTGACTCCAACCCTTTTTTGTTGGGTGAAAAGGGCAGGTTGAGTAATGTACATATCTTAAGTCCACTACTATTATTGTGTTCCTGTCCATTCACCCATTTAGTTTTGTTAATATGTACTTTTTATATTTAGATGCTCCAATGTGGAGTGCATATATATATATCTTATATCTTCTTGATCACTTTAACATTATACAGTGACCATCTTTGTCTTTTGTGACCAATTTTGACTGACAGTCTATTTTTGTGATATAAGTGTATCCTCCCCTACGCTGTGTTTACCATTGCGTGTGATATCTTTCACTATCTTTTCATTTTCACCTTATGTATATCCTTAAAGGTGACATGAGCCTTTTAATAGGCAGCAAATTATTTCATATTGTTTTCTACAAAAAAATCTTGTCTTGTCATTCTATCTTTCGACTGTAGAATTTTATTTACATTTAATAAAAGTTTTGATGGTAAGGCTTTTGTTATTGTGTTTTGTCAACTGTTTTTTTGTTGTGCAGTTTGAGTGTTTCTTTTTCTTTTCTTGCTGTCTTCTCTTATGATTTGGTGATTTATCTGTGGCAGAGTGGTAGGTTTATATTCTTTTGTCTTCACCATTTATGCACTTCCAAGAGATTTTAACTTTATGGTTACCAAGGGGCCTACATAAAGCATCTTATAGATATAAAATTTTATTTTAACCTGATAATGACATAGCAGCCATCTCATACAGAAACTACACTTTTACCACTCCTCTGTTTTATGATATGGTTGCCACGTTTTGCATGTTTTTATTTTGTGTGTCTATTAGCAAATCATTATAATTACAATTTGGAAGATATTTTTGTCCTTTAAATTTTATTGTAGAGGGCTGGGGTTGTGGATCAATGGTAGAGTGTTCACCTAACACGTGCGAGGCCCTGGGTTCGGTCCTCAGCACCACATAAAAATAAATAAATAAAATAAAGGTATTGAGTCTAACTATAACTAAAAAATTAAATATTAAAAAAATTTACCATGGAGTTAAAAGTCATTTATGCACCACCGTTATATATGAGTAGAGCTGTTTCTTGATTTAAGATGGAGATATATTTCTATAAAACCATTGTAAACTGAAAATATCATAAGTCAAATATATATATATTCAATACACCTAACCTACTAGACATCACAGCTTAGAAACATGGTAGACTGCCGAGTTACTCTTGTGATCACATGGCTAAGTGGGTTTGGTGCCTCTATTCAGCACACAGTGGTGAGGCAAAGAACCTCCCCCTCCCCCCCCCCTGCTGGTACAAAGACCTATCCACAGGTGTGGCTGTATGCTGGACCGGTAGTCAATGACAGGTAAGATCCAATTGCAATGGTACCAACCTAAGACAGGAGGCTGATGCCTTGAGGTCAGCTCATCTGATGATGGGTGGGGACCATATGTAGTATTGGGCAACCTAAGGCAGGCATGGTCCCTAAGCCACATGCTTGTTGTTTAAACAGAGAGGGGGAGATGTTGAGAGCCACAGCCGAAGGGGCCCCAGCAAACTTCCAGCTGCCAGCAAACTTCCAGTTGCCAGCTGATGATTGGCTCACAGTGGACCCAGCAAACTTCTAGCTGCCAACTAATTGGCTCCTCTATGCCCATTGGGCTGTTTCCCCGCCCTTTCAGACCACGGAGCTACTCATTGGGGGACTTTTTTTGGCTCTGCCCACGTGACCCAGACAATCGGCCTCAAGAGCAGGAGGAGTGGGGGAGGTTGAGAGGCTTGTGGGAAGCCAGTGGTGGCAGTTGGGCTCTGAGGGTTTTCCTTTGGTCATGAGAGTTTTGTATTACATACTGCTAGCCAGTGAGAAGATCAAAATTCATAACTTGAAGTACATTTTATATTGAATTTGTTGCACTATCGAAAGTTTAAAAACCATAAGTTGAACCATTGTAAGTTGAGACCATCATTATTCTGAATTTGACTACATATTTACATCTGGGTTTGGGCCATAATCACAAAAGACACAATTCCGAACAGCATAATTCTGAATGCTAAAATCTGAAAAGGTAAAATTCTCAAAAATACAATTCATTTAAAAAATTTTAAAAATTCCTTAGAAAACATTAAAATTTTTTTTTATAAATTTTGAGAAACACATCAAAACACAACAGAACACTTCATAGAACACTTTACACAACAAAGTAGGCAAAAATAAAATATTTTTGCAAACAGAAACACTCAAGTATATTAATGATAGTGGTAGCCTCACAGCTATAATAGTTATGAATAAATAATCATATTCATAAAGAAAAAAGGTAAAAGAGTAAGATATATAAATGTAGAGCACTCTGGTTGGTAATCATGTCCACCAGCTTTATAACATCTGAAACTCAGTAATGGACAATCTACATCTTTTGATGGAATCAATCAAACACCATGATACTGGATCAAGCACATGGCAGTACCAGGTGGCATTCACCCCAGGTACCCAAAAAAGCAGAAAGACAGCTGACCCTGTATCAAACACATGTGGTATCTCCTCCCTGAGCTAGCTGGGTACATGTTTAGATAGTGATAACAGCAGAGGCAGCCACTGAGCCCCACTCAGACCCTTTCCCAGGTTAGGGTGTAGATTCAGCCTCTTTGGAGGTTGGGTCAGGAGATGGTGGCACTGATCAAAGCCATGACTGGACAGGCACCAGCATCCTCCAAGGCTGGTGGGGACAGCAAGGGCTTACAACCAGCGACTTCTATTCCCCACCAACCATCTAGCACCTCTTGCCTCCACCTGGTATAGTGTTGAGGTTTGCAACATCTCCCAGTGATAGCATGACCTCTGGTCTTCTCTTGGATGATGCTTGAGACATCAGTCATGCTTTGGTCATGAGGCTGAGCCCAACTATTCCCAGTTGATTCTATTTTTTCCCTTCACAAAATTATCTGAAGCCAATAAAAGGAACCATCTATTCCCCAACATTAATTCACTGTGGATCACCACCACATATGCCATCAGACCAAATGCAGAAATCTTGAGAAATTTTAGTGTTCACACCCGAAGATTAACAAAAAAAAAAAGCCATCTTTTCATTTGTTGGAGAAATTTTAATATTTTTCTATCCATGCAGAATGCTTACACACAAAGCCAACTTTGTAATAACGCACTTTTGTGGAGTTAAATTCACAAAACAATGCATAAAACAAATTAGTATATTAAAAGTCTTTACACCATTTTTATCTTTGGTATTAGAAGTGAAGAGATGAAATATATAGCATAGAGAATTATAAAACTAATGCTAACACTTTAAAATAGTAGAAAAATGCTAAAAATGAAAAAGAAAAAACAAAAAGCCCAAAGAGAGAATTCATCATATAAAAAAGGTGCATGCCTGTAGTCTAGTGGCTTGGGAGGCT